AACATAGAGAGTGGAATAAATTAGGACAAACTGTGCTTATTAGACAATAATCTGTCGTTCAATTGTTATATATGTTTTCGTTTTTCTTTTTAATGTACCTTGCGTACGGTGCTTTCCAGTAGCTATCTCCCTTGACCGTTTTAATGACTACCTTGTATGAACAGTGCTCATCTGAAGACAGCGTTAATACGACCCTTTTGTTGTTGCGACCGATGAGATAAGATAAGATAAAATAAGATAATTTTATTTAGACACGGTAAAATGTTTCAGGCAATAACAATGAATGAAAAAGAAAGAAAAACTATCAACTAATGATATTATGCTATAGAATATATGAATGAATAACCAGGATTAATGACTAGGAATGTACAGCTGAAGATTGTATGACCCAAAGGTGGTCACATTGACCAGATTTCACTTTATTTAATTTTGTTACATGAACTACTGCAATAGGTTCCCAGACTGATGACCAGCAGAGCAATGTAATTGTGCCAGTTGCTGCTGATGTATTGGACACAGAGCAAGTCAGTGGTAAAGTACTACACCTGTTACAACTCTACAAAATCCCAATTTCCCAGTTTGGGTTGCATGTACTGGAAAGATCACAAGGCAGAACGTCTGAACTCCTTAACAAACCCAAGCCATTCGAGAAGTTATCACAAGATGGAAGAGAGGTTTACAGAAAAATGAAGAGATGGCTGGAACAAGAAGATCCTATTGGTTATGTTAGGAGAAAGATTGTACAAGGTGCGACATTATTGCCCCTCTCGATACATTCATTAAAAGTTGGCCCAATTATTTCAAGTCGCTATCCGTCTCCTTCGTGGGCTTTGAAATGCCCAGACCTGCACTTATGTTTGCGATATGTCGCGTTTCCTCGAATAATAGCCGGGGGCGATTATTTCTTTTTTTACACCAAAAGGGGGCGATTACTGGAGTGAAGGCGATTATTCGATTGAGGCGATTATTTCAAATATTGCCCCAAATATTTTGTTATATTTTTCCAATAATCACATCAAATAAACTAATGTCCTCGGCGTCAGAACCTGAATCGTCACTGATCGGTTTTGCTGGATCACTTTAGCTTCATCCTACAGGTTTACCCCTATGTGTATCCCTAGCGATATAGGGGTAAGGGGAGGCGATTATTCGAAGGAGGCTGTTGATCGAGGGGCAGCAATTATTCGAGGCAATGCGGTATCATTATTTCAGAATTTTCTCTGATTCTAATTTATGTTTGGCTAGGATCTAAAAGTAATACCAAAAAAATCAGGTTTTGGACATTTTTCGACATCATAGAAGCTCTACTTGAACGCGTTGGCCCAATATATTCAACTTG